GTAATACATGTATTGATTTTTTTTTAGAACTTTTATTAATTTCTTTAAAAAAAAATGTTGATTGATAAAATGAAGTTCTCATGGTTGTTTTGTGAGCTTAAAAATATCTGCCACGAAAAAAAAAAAACAAAATTTGTTGTGCTATTTATCAAAACTTGATGGGAAAAAAAATCTTAAAACTTAAAAAATTAAACTAAAAAAAAATCAGTATAAATTAAATTAATTATACTTCAATTCCTAGCCAGTTTTATAGGTTGATAAATATGCTTGTTAAAAGTAATGCTCAGAAATATGAGAATATAAACTGGGTGTATGTGGAGGACCCTTGAAGACTCTCTGTCCTTATAAAGAAAAGAAAATTGTGAGATGGGAATGCTGTTGAAAACAATAAAGGGCAATTTAGTGCAATTATTTATTTTCCTTTCAGTGCATGTAACTGGTCTGACAAAACTTCACACAGTACGATTAACTTTGTCAGAACAAATGTCAATTTAAAAATTTCGATAATAAATACCCCCCCCCCTTTCAGTGAAATATAGAATACAGAACAAAGAGTAAAAGACTATTATAAATGCAATCATACCAGGAGAGATAATCCACTGATGATGTAGATCCTTTTGTTGACATTTCCTCTTTAATTTTTGCTATTGCTTGTAAACATTTTTCGCTTTCTTTTACAACAGCAAATAGACCCATTGAATCAAGTTCAGAAAATTCTTCATCGATGTCTAAGCTCTGCAAGCAATTTTTCGTTGATTCCACCAGAAATTCCAGATTAGACCACAATGCAGCATGATCTTTGATACCTAGATAGAACGTTCTATCGTTAAAATGATATTGTCCTACGGACTCGGTTTAACTTTGATACCTAGGTACCAAATACAAGTCTTTCAGGGCTAATTCATATAAATCAGACAATTCTGTTGCTTTTCCAACATAAAAGATTCCAAAAGATTCTAATCTACAAATATCCCATTCTGAAACATAGTCTTCAGCAAAACCTCCCACATTTCACTCCGGACGTGTAACTGTCGTCGCCTGAGCTTGATCTTAATGATCTTCCCCTTTTCCGCATTAGTTCTGATGCTGAAGGGGATGAGCATGGTGACAAAATGGAGTTTGAAGAATTAGATGAATCATCCATTAAAATTTTTGGCGAATTATTCTCATGGAATTTTCGGAATCTCGATCCCGAGTGCTACTATTTTCACGAATTACGTCTTCAGGACGTGTTTGCGTGAAAATATCAAAAAATCCTGTCCCACTCGTGAAATAAATTCCATATCCAACTACAAAACATTGAATTTTCTATTTATTACATTTTCGATGATTTTCCCTTTGCCTCTGTCTTTTCTTTTAAAACACAATGTAATAGGCTGTGACGTCATAGTTGAGCATTTGAGACGTCAAGGCTTAGCAGTTGTGAGATGAAAAACATTGTAATATGGATTTTAGCAACATATTTTGGAAGAAATTGGCAGTTTTAATCTCTATCAAGATGGTTTAGTTACTATCTCTATCTTATTACAGGCCAGAAATTATATTTTACTTACTTTGATATCCTTTGATCACACTGTAAGAAAATATCACTCTGGTATCCTTTCACACTGTAAGAGAATATCACTTTGATATCCTTTGATCACACTGTAAGAGAATATCACTTTGATATCCTTTCACACTGTAAGAGAATATCACTTTGATATCCTATCACTTTGATATCCTTTCACACTGTAAGAGAATATCACTTTGGTATCCTTTCACACTGTAAGAGAATATCACTTTGATATCCTTTCACACTGTAAGAGAATATCACTTTGATATCCTTTCACACTGTGAGAGAATATCACTTTGGTATCCTTTCACACTGTGAGAGAATATCACTTTTATTCAATAAATGAATCCCACTATTTCACTGTTGAAAATGTAATAAATCACAACACTCCATAGAGTGGACTTTATTTTCCATATACAAAGAATACCTTTTGTAATTAGAAAAATTTCATATTCTGTCATTTTTCAGAATATTTCTATACCTCTCTTATTCTATTTCCACATAATGACTGCATTCTTTAAGTAATTGGTTATCCTCAATGTCAACTTGCACCTCTAGATCTTACACGTTCAAAATACTTCGAACATTAATTGCTCATCCAGACACACATAGATTATTAGTCGCTCTTTGGGGACATTCCGGATAACTCTGCCAAGGGGACATTAAATTCCCGATGGATATATTCACCAAAGACGCTCTTAACATATATATATATATATATATATATATATATATATATATATATATATATATATATATATATATACTTAAAAAACACGAAAAACCTCAGTAAAGCACGAAAAACCTCAGTAAAGCTTTAGGCCTTTCATTCTATCTTCAGAAGCTTTACAAAATAAACAACAGTAGTTACATAGTAACGTTACACAATGATACGCGGAGTATATGACGTCGTAATTGTGAAGTCAAATGTACTATGACATCATAGTCAATTGCTCTTTGCGTTCAGGTAAAAAGTTCGGGAAAACTTCAATAAAAATACAGATATACATATGCATGCATCATTAAATTGATATATATACTAAATCAGATTGTTTAGCTTTGGTTTCAACGTACAAATAAAATAGTACTTCAAAATAATAGGTTTGCCTTTGGTAATAGTCATTTTTTACAAACTAAAGGAACTGCCATGGGAACAAAAGTTGCACCAACATACGCAACACTTACCCTAGGTTACCTAGAATACAAACTAACCAACAACTCATAACCTTATGGGGAGAAGATATAGCCAGCAGCCTTAAATCTAAATGGAAAAGATTCCTGGATGACTGCTTTATTTTATGGGATGAAAGTGTCGAAAAATTAGAAGTCTTCCATAAAATATTAAATGAATTGAATGCCAACATCAAATTTACTATAGATACCAGTGAAAATCAATTACCATTCCTAGATGTTCTCATTATTAAAAAAGAACAAAAGGATCATTACTGATATATATTACAAAGTGACGGATACACACCAATACTTACATTTTGGTTCTTGTCATCCACATCATACCAAAACATCCATTCCTTATAACCTCGCCAGACGTATATGCGCCATTGTCAGTGAAAAAGATACAAGGGACATTCGTTTATGTGAACTTAAAACCTATCTTTTAAAACAGAAATACCCAGTCCAACTTATAGACAATGGAATACTTAAAGCCAAGGAACATGAAAGATCAGAATTACTATTAACCAAAGGACGTGAGGATAACGAGAATATTATTCCCTTTGTACATACTCATAATCCTCAGAATCAGAACATCAACTCCATTGTTAACCAACTGAACACCATTCTCAAAGAGGACCAAACAACAAAGCCAATTTATGAAAACGTACAATTTATCTCAAGTAGACGTCAACCAAAGAACCTGAAAAGACTACTATGTAACTCTAATTTTGAAGAAAACTATTCAGTGACTAAATGTAAAAATCCTCGATGTGGAACCTGCGACCATCTAACTGAAGGAACTTGTTATAACTTTAACGGCCTAAGATTTACAGTGAACGCCAATATGTCGTGTGATACTCAAAATGTTTTATATGTTATAACCTGTCCAGGGTGTAGTGAATATTATATTGGCGAGACCAGTAACACGCTCCGTACTCGGGTTCATATTCATAAACAGCATATCAACACGCCAGAATACAGACAGATACCACTTAGTGAACATTTAGAAGTGTGTGGACAAAAGAAATTTAAGATATTTCCTTGTTATAAAGTAACAGGAGGAAATGATATTTGTAGACGTCAAAAAGAAAAACATTTTATTTGTACGTTGAAACCAAAGCTAAACAATCTGATTTAGTATATATATCAATTTAATGATGCATGCATATGTATATCTGTATTTTTATTGAAGTTTTCCCGAACTTTTTACCTGAACGCAAAGAGCAATTGACTATGATGTCATAGTACATTTGACTTCACAATTACGACGTCATATACTCCGCGTATCATTGTGTAACGTTACTATGTAACTACTGTTGTTTATTTTGTAAAGCTTCTGAAGATAGAATGAAAGGCCTAAAGCTTTACTGAGGTTTTTTGTGTTTTTCTTCTTTATGTTAAGTATTTTATTCTGACCACTGAGACTTTTTATTGGATAATCTATATACATAGATATATATATATATATATATATATATATATATATATATATATATATATATATATATATATATATATATATATATATATATTGTAATATTCATTAAATAATAGTCTCCATATTTATTCTCTGTATAGAAAAACAGGCAACATAATTAATACAAGTTCCTCCAAAAATATTGACAGTCATTTAATTCATGTATAGTACAAAATATCTGTGAAATCAATTTTAAGTCATCTCTTCTAAAACACGCCAGAAAAAATGACTAAAATTACTCTAATGTTAATAATCAATTATCTTTGGTATTATTAATATTATTTATTGACCAATTACACCTACCAGTGACCAATGGTAGATTTATGTGATTAATGAACATTAAAGACATGAAAAAAAAATTATAAATTTTGTAAGCTCTTTATTTTATCACATAACACTTTAAAATACACTGTTTCGCTCTGTTAGAGTTCATCAGGCCGCCTAGCAGACGACGACAGTGTTTTTTTTTGGGGGGGGGGGGGTCTTTTTGACACAAACTTTCAGTATTTACACATTTGTTAAAGCTCACTTCTTTTTTATTTTGACAATGTTTTGCTGAGCCATTTTCCTTTGGAAACTTTCTTGATACCTGGACAAACACCAACAAATGTTTTCCCATAGACTTCCATACAAATTCCAATCACTGTCACTTATTTTTATAATCAATATTCAAAAAATCAGTCACTGTGAAGCAAAGTTCAACACCTCTTCTTCGAAATTCCACCACGAAAAATATATCATGAAATTGTGTTTATCCTTTAAATTTTGGCCTGTTTACAACTGGTATAGATTCGCACTGAATGAAATTGTCCAGCAAAATATCACCCCTCATCTCAAGTCTTCCTTTATAAGTCCTATATCTTTTTTACACATTCTGTTAAGTCACATATAATTTTTATCACTTATATTTCACTGTCGAATTCCACCACAAAGATTTTCTGTTAATGACCAATCAGGACTCCTGTCAGCTTTTCTTCTCCGCACAACTTTGGGTGTCCAAAATGGCGGCCCCCTCTACCTAGGCAATTCTGGTGTTCTTCCTATAACCAAATAGATAACAAAGTGAAAAAGTGCCCAATTTGACATTTTCAGATAACATGTATATAGTACATTTAAAATATGTAACATGAAGAAATTACATGTAAAAAAATGTAAATTATGACTATCTATTCAATGTAACCCCCCTACACAAAACGAACGCAACCGTGATATGAAGATGTATTGAAAGTTAACTTCATATTGACTTTTTAAAGTGACTATTGAAATAAAATATGTAATTAACTAACAATGTTATTTCTTATGTTTTCAAGAGGATTTGAGGGATTACATGTAATTTTCACATTCAGAGTATATTGTACCCGATTTTAAAAAAAATAGCCAAAAAAACTCAAATTATTGAGAAAAAATGTTTTTAACATGTATTTAATTTTACAATTCAAAATGAAATCACTAAGCAGCTGACAGCCAATTAAGAGAAGGTTTTCAAAAGAGATGAGAAATAATTTGATCTAGTAGTGTTGTTTTTTCTCTGTAGCAGTAAAACTGTCATTACCCCCTTCAATACACCTACATTTTGCAGCGAGGGTTGCTGGCTAATTCCTATCATGATAACAAATTATTGCATGATAACACCTTAACTTGACATGATGCTGATGGAGCAATGGAAAAAGCACATCACAAGTGAATTTCACTTCAGACACATACAGTATCCATAGTAAATTTTTCAGTCAAGTTTCAAAGATGGGAAAATTCAAAAAGAGGATAATTAAGGTTTTAAACCCAAATATGAGTGCCTCACAACAAGGGAAAATTACTTCATAAAGAAGAAGAAAACTCACCTGCACCATTCACAAGAGTAGACCGGGAAACCTGGAAGTGGTGAGGCATCCACCCTCTGTGTGTGAGGAACAGGAAATGATGCTGTGACATGGGTGCCACCGGTTGCTGCAGCCAAGACCTCTGAAAAAGAAAGAGAATCCTGAGGCTTTGATGCAGGCTGAACCCTTGGGGTAATAACTACAGTTCTTTAAAATTTAATAAATAATGAAATTAAACCTCTATAATTAATAAATAATTTTTCTAATTATTAAAATAGGCCCATATAAGGCCAATTTGCCTGAAATAAGGGGTATACCTAAGATCCTGTCAAATTAATCAGCGTAATTTAACTCATAAAAGGGGTGGGTATCGGCAAAAATTTCATATCGTGATATATCATGATTTTCCCCAAAAAATATCACGATAAATCGTGATATTTTTACACACAATTTTTACTACAATTTCAAATGAATTTCCGTAATAGTTCTTAAAAATATGCTATAAAAACATAACTCTACTTTTAACTTTTTATTTCTTTAATATAAAGCATGTTTGGATGCCGTTGTTTAACTGTTTTCAACATTTTTTTTTTACATTTCCTGTAATTGTCATTCAATAGTTTGAACAAATAAATGAACAATTTCCGGAATTATGGTAATGTGAAAAATACCGGTATTTTAGTCTCCGTATCACGATACGTATCACACAGTAAAGAATTGCGATATACCGGTATACCGATAAAATCACACATCCCTAACTCATAATTAATTATATCTCTAAATTATAGTAACATTTTTAAAATTGATCATTTCTTTGAGGAAAAAAGTTACAAAACCAGTTTCTCTAGACCGTGATGAGTCTTTTGTCTCAATTCTGAAAACAAGTATAGTCTAAGGGGAGTAACTCTAATTTCTGAAAATGAACTTACCTGGATAGGAAGTGATCAGATATAAAACTGGTTTCGGCAGGTGTGATACAGACTCCCAAAGACTGCTCCATCTTCAAAAGACAAGTGGGATGTTCAATACAGCCTTCAAAAAACATGGGAAGACCAATCCAGGATGTGATGGCAACCTGACCTGGGACATGGACTCTGAGGAGAGGCGTGGCCTGGGTACTCGACTACAGCTGAAATGCAGCAGGTGCCCTTACATTTCAGAAATGCACAACCTCTATGTGGAAGTGCAATCCAAATCAAGGGAAGGAAAGCAGCAACAATAAACTATGTCCTACAAGTAGGTCTAAGTCAAACCCCCATTGGCAGTTCATCTGTACACAAAATTTTTATGGCCACCAACACTCCGCCTCCGGCCGAGTCTTCACTACAAAAAACAAGTAACACCATCATGCAAAAAGTAGTTACCCTAAATAAGAAAAAAGATGATATGAAAAAAAGATGTAAGAAATTAGTTCATATTAATAAATTGCAGGGGGCCCCAAACCCAAACAATATAGGAATTCAGTGCGATGGAATGTATGATAACTCCCTCTACTCTGGGGTGGGGGAAACACCCTTCCAGCCTGCTACACAGACCGTCTTCTTAATTGCAGAAGATGTGACCAGTAGTCACGAGATAATATCTTTAGTGACCAAAAACAAAATATGTCCTGAGCGACAGCACCTCAAGAACAATCCAAGCCATGTGTGCACTGAGCAGACCTGGGGCAAATATACCCATGACCAAAAACATTGGTGACGAATTCACCTGGGCCAAAGAGGGCATAGAAGACCTTCTCGAGAATGATTTAAATGTCAAGGACATTACATCAGACCCTGACAGTACAATATTCAAGGCCGCTGAGTCTTTGTATGCCGAGGGCAAACTATCAGACGAACTGCGACGTTTTGTCGACACTCGGCATCTTGCTGAAAATGCCAGAAAGGCCATCAAGAAAGATGAATCTTTACAGAAAATTATGCCCAAAAATACCAAAACTGTAAGAATCAAACTGCTAAATAACTTTGCTATAGATTTTACAGACAGATGAAAAGTTTACATAAGGGGGATGGGGATGGATTTTAAACTACCTGAGGATGCTTCCATATCAATAAAACAAATGGCTTTTCTGTTCTTCAGAAGATTTTTAAAGATTTTTTTCCTATAAATTCCTTTGTAAGAATTTGATCCCCTATTGTGGCTCCTCCCTACCCTAAGGGATCATCATTTGAACAAACTTGAATCTACAATACCTGAGGATGCTTCCATGTCAATATGACTAAACATCTAGAGAAGAAGATTTTTTTCTATATATATTCCTATATAAAACTTTGATCCCCTGTTGTGGCCCCACCCTACCCCTGGGGGTCATCATTGAACAAACTTAAATCTACACTATGTAAAGAAGGTTTTCTTTAAGTTTCAACTTTTTTTGCCCTGTGGTTCTTGAGAACATTTTTAAAGCATGCCACCAAATTTTCACTATTTCTGAATTACCTCCCCTTGCAGGGATCGACAATAACTTTTAAAACCATAGTCGCCCTCATACTCAGCAATTTGTTCGGTTGCGGTCATGTATACATGTGATTCAAATAACCCAAACTGTAGGGGACCACAAATGCAGTATTTTTTTTTTTAATATTGAGGTGTTGTCAAAAACAATAAATGCTCATGGAAGCTTTTAAAATTGCCGTTCTATCAATCTGTCAATTCCTAATGCATCGTGTTTCACCCACCAACAATGCTATGACATGGATGAGGAAAACCATGCAACGTTTTCAACACAAATATTTCTTCCATAAGGATAATTTAAATCAATTAAATTGCTAATTTTTTAATTAACACATAATGTTTATCTCTATTTTTTTGTATCTGATAAGTCTTTTGATAACTGGTTGGTCGTCACACCTACCTGTGTCGTGTGTCGTGCAATGTACAGCGATAAGTTTAGTTACCGAGAATCGCGAAACACGGGGTGATTCGGAAAGTAACAAAATCAGGACTTTTGCGTTTTTAAATTAATTTTTACATGCTTCGAGCGAGTGTTTGGTAATAAATTGCAGTAGCCCTGCAGGAAAAGCTCAAAGACGTTTAGTAGCCTGACCTCAATTTTCAGGTGTCCCAGGCTAGCGGGCTACTGTTAGTGTCGAACCCTGCCTTGAATGAGGGCGTGGCCCTTCATTTGAATAAACTTGAATCCCCTTTACAATGTACCAAAGGATGTTTTGTGGCAAGTTTGGTTGAAATTGGTCCAGTGTTCCTGGAGAAGAAGTTAAAAATATGAAAAGTTTATAGACAGACTGACAGACTACAGACAAAATGTGATCAGAAAAGCTCACTTGAGCTTTTAGCCCAGGTGAGCTAAAAAGTCACTACTTTTCTACAGATAACACATTTTATGAGTCATTCATATTTATATTATATTATACTTTCATGTAAATAAGTTGAATCTAATTCGTTGAGAAACATTTTTTAAACAAGAGGCCCATGGCCCACATCACTAGGCAAAAGCACAAATCAGTTCAGTACTGAAAAGACTACCGAGGGGGGGGGGGGGGGGCATGAATTTAAAGTACTTGATGATGCTTCCATGTCAATATAACAAATGGCTTTGTTGTACTTGAGAAGATTTTTAAAAAAATTTCCCATACATTCCTTTGTAAAAATTTGATCCCCCATTGTAGCTCCTCCCTATCTCAGTGGTCATCATTTGAACAAACTTGAATCTACACTACCTGAGGATGCTTTCATATCAATATGATTAAACATAGCTTTTCTGTTCTTGAGAAGAAATATTTTTTCTATGTTCTTACGTAAAACTTTCGATCCCCCATTGGGCCCCACCCTACCCCTGGGGTCATCATTTGAACGAAATTGAATTTACACTACCTGAGGATGCTTCCATATCAAAATGACTAAACATGATTTTCAGTTCTTAAGAAGAAGATCTCTTCCTATATGTTCCTATGTAAAATTTTCGATCCCCCATTGTGGCCCGACCCTATCCCCAGGGGTCATGATTTGAACAAAATAGAATCTACACTACCTGAGGATGCTTCCATATCAAAATGACTAATCATGGCTTTGCAGTTCTTCAGAAGAAGATATTTTCATATATATTTCTATTTAAGACTTTGATCCTCCATTGTGGCCCCACCCTACATCTGGGGGTCAACAAAATAGAATCTACACTACCTGAGAATGCTTCCACATAAATATGATCAATCAGGGCTTTGCTGTTCTTGAAAAGATTTCTAAAAAATTTTCCTATATATTTCTATGTAAAACTTTGATCCTCCATAGTGGCCCCACCGTACCCCCGGGGTCATGTTTGAATAAATTTGAATCTACACTACCTGAGGATGCTTCCATATAAATATGACTCATCATGGCTTTGCTGTTCTTGAGAAGACGATTTTTAAAGGTTTTCCTATATATATTTCTATGTAAAACTTTGATCCTCCATTGTGGCCCCCCCTACCCCCGGGGGTCATGATTTGAACAAAATTGAATCTACACTACCTGAGGATGCTTCCACATGAGTTTCATCTTTCCTGGCCCTGTGGTTCTTGAGAAGAAGATTTATAAAAGATGCTATTAATTTTTCGCTAATTCTTTATTATCTCCCTTTGAAAGAAGGCGTGTCCCTTCATTTGAACAAACTTGAATCCCCTTCATGCAAGGATACTTTGTGGCAAATTTGGTTGAAATTGGCCCAGTGGTTCTTGAGAAGACGTCGAAAATGTTAAAAGTTTACAGACAGACAGACGCCTGATAAAATTTAAAGTGATCAGAAAAGCTTACTTGAGCCTTCAGCTAAAAACACCATTACCCGCTGAATGATGAAGCCACGCCCTCCAGCGTAGCAACTGTCAACATTGCTTGATGACGGGTGATATTCCAAAAAAACAGTGACTGCGCAGAATTTATGCGCGCACGGTTCACTGTTATATGATTGTATTAAATTTTGTATAAAACATTCAGTATAATATAATAAATATTGCATGTAGTTGAGTGTAACATTGAAAATTTTTACCCCAAGAAAACCACTGTAAACTTCCGCTGCGCCTCGGTTGACAATGGTTTTCCATGGGAGAAAATTTTCAATGTTACACTCAACTACATGCAATATTTATATAATATATAATATAATAATATATGTGTTATTTGAATGTACAATGCTGAAATAGTAGTCAGGGTTTGACACATTATGCACGAGCCAGAAATCAGAGTGCATTATGTGTCAAACCCTGACTACTATTTCAGCAAAGTACATCTAAATAATAACACTAATTTGATTATAATGCTGACTGTTGTTTGTATATGACAATTTAATAAAAATTCTCAATCCCAAAGCTGTTTGCGGATGTTAAATCTAAATGAAAATTTTCTTGAACATGCATTAAATTCTTTCAACAAGTGTTATATCTAAAAGCATTTTTAATTAATGACTCCTGTTACATTGCAATTTTGAATATTGATACATTAATTTAAGTATTTATTTGATATTTTTTTTCAAGATCCTTGTCAGTGATATCATTATTTTGATTTTTTATTTTTTATTTTTTTTTGGTGTCAAATGTCACTATGAAAACTATGTATATATACTAGCTATAAATACATTTGGTTAATGATAGGTTTTTGTGGCGTAATGGTAATGCGTGGGACAGACAATCTCATAATCGCAAGTTCGACACCCAACTTTGAGCTTTACACATTTCCTTTCAAAAAGACAGCTGTGAACTATTTTGGCATAGTATGCTTACGCTATATAAATCCTTAGAACACTGCAAAAATAGTTAGGTATTGATTACATAGACAAACTGACAGGAAACATTCTAATAATAAAATATGATGAAAAACATAAAAGCAATATGTACATACCTGCCATACACTTGCAATGTCCTGGTGACATCGTACCTTGTTGTAAACAAGGTATTTTACAATGTTAGGGTAGATGACTTTAGGCCAGTTCATCATGTCTTTTGTCCATTCACCCTTTTCCTTCTCCTAAGGATCTTTATCTTCAAATGCTCATAGCTTTTCCACAAACCTGGTCCATGCGGTAGTATCCAAGGTGTCCAGACAATGCACTTTTGCCCTGGAGTCTGATATTTTGCTGTTTAACTTAATCAACATAAGTTTCATTGACATCTCTAGTTTTTGCCCTACAAGATGGTGCAACGTGCAGAGGATTATGGGTAACTTAAAGTCATAAATGGAAAATGGTTTCATTGCATATTTAACTACTTAACTA